ATAAAGAACACTGAAGAAGAATCAATGGATTTGAATTGTGGTGCTTTAGAAGAATAGTGAATGAACCAGAAACTTAGAATAGGACAAACTGATCCATTGTGGAAGAAGGCAGGCCAGAGTGCTCCTTAGAGACAGGGATGGCAAAATTTCATCTTAAATACTTTGGACATTTTGTCAGGAGAAAGGAAATGCTAGAGAAGGACATTGTGTTTAGTAATGAAGAGGGGAAGGAAAAAAGAGGATGCCCTTCAAGGAGATGAATGACACAGTGGCTGCGCAATGGGATCAGGCATAGAAACATGTGAAGATGGTGAATGACTATAGAAAGACCATGCTCAGGCACAGAAGCAATGGTGAAGGACTGGAAAGAGTTTCATTCTGTTGTGCATGAAGTCACTATGGGTTGGAACTGATTCAATGGAATTTAACAACTAAAGTGATGTAGGAGAGGTCTAATAGGGGCTGGAAAATAAATGGTGGTGAAATGGGGGAAAGTGGAGAGACATGGGTAATTTTGGAAGATGGGTGTGGGAGAAGAGTTAATAAAATTAAAGTAATGATAGTAATGATAATTTGCTTAGAGAGACCAACTAATTTGTAAAAAATAATGTTGCAATGTATTTTAAGAAGGATTATTAGCTTAATAATTTCCAATGAAATATGTTTCATGAGGGAAAAGAGAGAGAGCAGTAAGAGATAATGGGAGAAATTGCAAGGAGATGAAGGACAAAAGAGACATAAAACAGGGTATGACAGAGTATGGTTGCTATGGCAACCTAAAATGTGGGTACATCAGTGCACTCAGGTGGGGCTCATTTAGGTGGGTGAGCTGTAATCTAAAATACTGCCTGTTTTTTCTTGGGGGCAATGGGTATTCTCATGAGGTGCCTTTGTACGGGAAGAAACCATTGGAAGAGGAAGTGGGAGAGAACTCCAAAAATATACAAATATCGTAATATGGAACAAACACAAAAAAATCTATCTATCTGAAAATAAAACTACCTTGTTGGTGGGACACCTGCTCTCTGATAGTATTATTTTGTTAACACGTGCTGTGCGTAGGGGGGCAGGCCAAGTACTGGAGCTCAAAGTATGAAAGAAAAAGGAAGGGAAGGAACTATAAAGAAAATGAAGCTAAGATTGGGTACTGACTATGTCTGCAACCTACTGCTCAACACAGAGCTGCCTCCCAGATGCCCGTAAGATTAGAGGTTTGATTGAATGGGTGGTCTTAGGTTCTGGGAGAAATCAGCTGTGCCAGGAGGAGCAGGGCTCACAGAAGTGGCTTGTGCTGCTGGTCCATGGTAAAGGGGAGTCTGTCCGCAGGCAATACTGTTCTCCCACATGAAGAAACCTGGATCTAATTAATGTTGTGTTGAGATTATTACTGCCTAGTGAGCCTGCTCTGGGACTGCTGAGGAGAGCTTCCTCTTTATCTCCCTGCTTGTTGTCTGGCAGCCGTTTGTTTCTCTGTGTTTCTATTTTTTAATTTGTCATTTATTACCAGCCCTGTTTCTCACAACAAGAACATGTGATCTGTGCTTTTCCCATTTTAGGGAAATTTACTCATATTTCTATTGTAAGACTAATATATCATTATTTTTAGTGAATCTCTGACCTAACTAGTCACTTGATGTTATTAAAAATAATGCAATCAAAAGTATCAGCAAGGAAGCATTTAAAACAAATAGAATATACAATGAACTGAGAAAAGTAAAAACTAGGACCAAATATTTGCATTGCATTTTAATAAAAATGATTAACTTTGCATTAAAGAAATATTTTTTAAACTGGCACAAAAACAAGAGTTACACTTTTTGGTCCTAACATATATATTTAAGACATTACCCCCAGTGGACTCTAAGATTGATAGAAAAGAATGAGTAAATGCAGCACAAATAGATAATGAACTCTAGAGAGAATCGTCTCATAGGTCAAAGAATTAAACTTTATGATTTGGTACAATGAAGATAATCTGCTTTGAAAGCATCACATAGAAATGAATATGATGAGCATAAACATATACAGTGAACCCTCGCCACTTCGCGCTTCGACTTCCGCGGCTTCGCTCTATCGCGGTTTTTGCGTAACAGCGCATGCTCTGCCATTACTGCCACTGATTGGCTCATACGGTACACGCTTGATGCCATAAATAATATAATAAATAATAAATGATCATTGTAACGTCCAAAATGTTTTACTGTATTTTCCCTTTTTCGTTTAATAAATTGGGTAATACGAGTGTAATGGTGACTAAAGGGTGTTTTTCATGTCCTCTATGCTCTAACTATGAAAATATTTGATTTACAAATAAGGAATCCTACTTCGCGGAATTTCATTGATCACGGTAGGGTCTAGAACCGATTAACCGCGATAAACGAGGGTTCACTGTAAAAGGCAAAAATTGGAAGAACAAGACAAAAAGGCCTGAAATTTAATTGTAGTGAAGAGCTCAAACATGCTTGTATCAAATATATATTTTTTGTTTTCATATTATAATCTTTTCAGGTGATAACTAAGTTAGCTTTTCTTAAGTTTCATATAAATGTTATCACTCTTTTGCTTCTAAATTTTTCACTGATTATGTTTGTGCAATTCACTTATGCTTGTGTGTATTAGTAGTTCATTGTAATGTATTGTTGAATAGCTGTCCATTGTGATAATATATGAGAATATATCTCTTCTGGGTTGTCTCTAGATTATTAGTAATATTAAGAAAGCTGCTATGAATATTAATGTGCTTATCTTTGGGTGTTCTGTAACCCAAAAGTGAAATTGTGGGACATATGGTATACACATGAATAGCTTTAGGGAATAATCTTAAATAGTTCTTCAAAATTGACTTACCAAGTTACATTCTCACTAGCAATTATTTTTGGAAAGTTTCCATTGCTCCATATCTTTGGTATCATGATTTTAGTTCTTTAACTTTGAACTACACAGAACTCTCAACTATTATACTAATGTAGAAATGGAAGCTATGGAGCTTACCAAACTCCAGGAGATTTGGAAAGCAAAGGTGAATTGGAGGTGGTTGTGACCAGAATTAGCATAATAACCAGGTCACTGTCATGTTTAAGAACCACCAGTGATCCCCATTGCTTTATACGACAGATCAAAATTTTCTTCCAAATGCCCAAGTCTTCATTATCTGATTCCCCCTACCCATCTGACTTCTCTCCCAATATTCTGCTCTATTTGTCTTATGCTATTGTTATTTTAGTTGCTCTTGAATCCAAAGTCATTATGAAAATAAGCATTCATTACTAAAATTTCTTCTTTAAACCTCATAATAGCCTTATGAAATAGTTCATATTATGATACTTATTTTACATAGTTATAACTTGATGTGCCTGGAGGTTAAGAAACTAGTCCAATGATTCAGTTTTAGTAAAATGACAGAAAGGATTCTTACCTAGGCACACCCGCTCAAGATAAAACTCTCCTGACTTTCCCACTATGTCATATGGCTATATTGTGTCATAAGAACACGGTGGAGCTAGCATTAGAACTCCGATATAGAGACTTCAGCAACAGTACATCTCTGCATATTTGTTTCAGCCACACCGTATTTCTTAATTTCCTGTGAATGTAATATTTAGATTGCTTTCCATTGTCCCATGTGCATTGGTTTTGCCCTCTAATTTGATGTCCCCAATGTAAAGCATAGTTTTATGCACATGGTACTTACTTGTTGAAAAGAAACTCCAACTCAGGTAGATTTACAAGGACCAAACGGCAGGTTGGTGGGGAAATGAGGAATCCATAGCTGTGTGTGTGTGTGTGGGGGGGGGCGGGGAGGTTAGGGGGTGCAGAGCTGAGTCATTGCCCTTCCAAAATAAGGGGCCTGATATCTGCATTATAGTCCCTATAGCTATAGGCCAAGTGTCACTCAGCCTTGGTATTGGTGTGATTTTGCAAATAAATATCCTGGTGGTCAATTTTCATGTTCCAGCTATTCATTTAGGGCAGTGTAGGCTCAACAGAGCAGCTGGTTACTTTTTGGAGAGGGTGGCCAGCCAAAGGTCGGTCAAGCGACCCAGGCTTTAGCAAAACACAGCCAGGTATTCAAAGCAGTAACCTAGCCATGTGGCAAAGACTAGGTGGAAGAAAGGTTTAACAGATTTCCAGGCCACCAAGGATAACTAGGTACAGTTCAGTATAATATGATTCATTCTAGATCCCTAGTTGGTGCTGAATGAGTGTCTTATACCCTGCCAAACTTAGGAGTTTATTAGGAAATAGCTAGGGTAAGATCTATTATTAAGAGCAGTAGCACTGACTGTGGAAAGCAGAAGTTAACCTTAATAGGCAAATTCCATGTGAACATTAGGGAATGCATGATTTTATAGCTATGTTTTTGTGCCTGGGATCCATTTCTGATTCTGCCATTTACCCTCAGCATTATGGTTTGGAAGTTATTTAACACTTTGGTGTCCCGTTTTTTTCCTGTATAAAGTAGGAATAAGCAGAACCTTCCTCAGAGAGTTTTGTGAAGGTGAGAAGAGTAGTATGTGTGTGTGTGTGTGTGTAATATGTACTATATGTAGCCGTTAGAACAATGGTTGCCTACTGTATAGATAGTTGCTGTGTGGTCAATCCCAATTTATGGCAGTTTCAATGACTGATTTTTCAGAAATACATTATCTGGCCTTTCTTCCAAGAGACCTTCATGTAAACTGAAATCACCAGTTTCTCATTATCAGAAAAGTGTTTTACTGGTTAGACCACTAAGAGACTCCCAAACCCCAGTTGGTGTGGAGTTAATACTGACTAATGATAGCCCATAAAGGTCAGAGTGGAGCTGTGCCATATTAAACCACTCCCCACATGTTGACCAGTATCCTGTGTTGGCCCATTTAATTAGATGTATTGCAATGATCTGTCTTGTTCAAAACCTCAGAGAGGAAGTTTTCTTCTATATTTCAATTGATCTTGCTTACTTATGCATCCTCAAATCATGTCTCTATGCCCCAGCCTTTCATGAAGTATGTTCTTAGCCTTTGGCAGGTTCCGAAGACAGTTCCTGGGAACAGACCTTCCCTGACAGTGTGCTGCAGTTCCTGGGCCTCGTCCATTCCGCCTACCCTGAGGACCCCATGTGGGAAGCCCCAGAATTTCTTCAGACTCTGGCTGCAGTCACCTTCCCTCTAGGGATCCAAATGGTAGGTCCTACCCTTGCTCTACCTCAGTGAGAGCGGGGATACGCTTTTCATTCTCTAAAGATGAAAATAGAATTCCTCTTCAGCTGCCAGTATTTAAAAAATAATAATTTTAAGTTAACTGGACATGACAGTGATGCAGCTCAGTCATTTTCAGTTTTGTGATTCGATTTTTAAAATTTATTTTTAACAGTCTTATTGAAATACAGTTCACACATCATACAGTTTACTGGTTTAATCATACTAAACATAGCCGTGCACTCATCATCACAATCAACTTTAGAAAATTTGCATCTTTTGGGCATTCAAATTATTAGCTCCCCATTTCCATTCAACCTCTTCTGCCATACTTTAAAAAATGTGGGCTTTTTAAAAACAATTTGTCTGGCACTTCATTCACCCATCATACTATTCAATAGCTCAATCATATCAAGAAGAGTTGTACAATAATTACCACAATCAATTTTAGAGCATATTCCTTGTGTTAGTCTGGGTAAACTAGGGAAACAAATCCACAAAAACTCATACAGAGTTTTATATAAAGGGTAAGTGTAAATTAAGAAAGCATCCCAACCCAGTGCTGCCCAAGCCCATAAGTCCAACATTAGCCCATATGTCCAACACCAATCTACCAAGTCCTCCTCAATCTGACAAAACACACGCAATGATGCCAACTGCAGGAGGAAAGCCGAATCAGTGAATTTGTAAGCATTTCAGCACTGGCAGCGGTCTCCATACATCTGCTCCAGCACCCAGGGCTGCATCAGGGTAGATCCATGTGGCTTCTCCTCAGGGATGTCTTGCAAGAAATGAGCCTTGCCAGCTGAAGCAGGTCACTGGCTAAGGCAGCTGCACCCAGGTCCGACCATCAGAAAGCAAGAGACCCGAGAACTAGGAAGCTGAGGCTCACTGAGCCATTTATCTCTCTGCCCTTCAAATAACCCCACGTGTTTATCGGCCAGGTTGGCACAATAAACCTTAACTATCTCATTCCTCTTCCCTGTGCTCATTGTTCTTAATGTAATTCTATTTTTTTTTTTATTGTGGCAAAAATATACTCAACAAAACATTCTCCAATTCAACAGCTTCTCCGTGTATAATTCAGTGCCATCAATTATACTCTTAGTGTTATGCCGGCATTGTTGATATCCTTTTCCAAATTATTTCAGCACCATTAATATAAACTCAATGGCCCCTAAGCAAAGACTCTTCTTTCTTAACCCAGGGTAACCATCAGTCAACTTTGGTTTCTTTTATTTTTCTGGTTGTAATTTTATTGATAAAAAATTCACATGTCATATGCTTCCATAGTTAAATCACTTTTTAAAAGAGTTGTATATACTTGATCACAATCAGTTCTGGTTTTCCTTCCCCACTACTGCATTCATTGTTTGCTCTCCAATTCCCCTCAAACTGCCTACTATCCCCTGTCCCCCATCCCTGATACACCATTGCTTCAGTTATTGTCTCTATGAATTCTAATAACTCAAACAAATCCACTCTTTCTGTGTTTCCTAAACTGGGAAATCTAACAGAAACAATAAAAAACAAAAACAAAAGGAAACAGACAGAAGAAAAATAATGTAAAGATAAAAGCAAAGATTAAGAAATAAAACACTACCAGCAATATTTTAAGAGCTAGAGAAGAAATTTCTGTCATAGAACAAGCAAAAAACATTTAAACCTAGAACAAATACAGATTGAATCAAGAGGGAGGTCAACTAAGCACGTACCCTATTATACTGTAGTTTGATCCACCATAATAAAGTTTTCACTAGTCTCTGGTAGTAAAGCTGCTCAATCCCCCACCTGTGATCAGAGGAGATCTGCCAGAGGCTTCGTCTGACTAGATCATCAGCAGAGGCACCAGACTCTCACAGTAGTCCATAGCCTTTTGAAATGTGGATGTTCACAATTTAAGCTCTGATATTTTTACATCATATTTGGATTTTGTTATTGTCATCTTTGGATCACACAAACTAGTGTGCTTCTTCAATGTGGACTTAGTCGATGCCTCACTTAGATGGCTGCTTGTTTGAATGTAAGCCTTTAAGAACCAGATGTTATCCTAACTGATAGCCAGGCACCATCTGCTTTTCTCACCACACTTTGTTGTAACACTCTTATCTTTAGTGTTCTCTTCATGAAAATGAATATCAAGCAGGGCCATGTTATAAGAACTAACTCTTCTTGGATTGGGTTTAGAATTAAGTGGGAGCCTAGAGGTTCAATTTTTTTTGAGTTATTAGGAATCTCGGTAATGAGAAAATTGATGGTAAATCAAGTCCAATTCCAAATGGAATGCTTGTATGCTGATAATGTAAAATAACAGAAATCAGTTCAGGAAGCCTGGGGATTTTTTACCAATATGAACAATGGGGAAACAAAGATGCAACCAAGAGTAAAGGAAGGCATTTCAGGCAGAAGAAAAGGGGATGGTGGAGAGGCCTACACATAAGCTCATTCAGCTACTGAATCTAACAGGGAGAAAGGACATTCCTACAGGTTCCCCATCACCATCTTCCATTATAGGTCTTGTGCAGGAGCTAGGGCCCTGAAATCCTTGGATTCACACTCAACATAAATTCTCACCTCCAATACTAACATCTGTAGCCAGAGCATGACATCTGCTAAGTTGTATTATATCCAGCTTCCCACCAGCAACTGTACATATGCTCTGACCTTGGGTGCTATCCCCCCCTCCCCAAGAGGCCAATAGCTTTAGTCTAGGGGATGGGTAAATCCAATGTCACCTCCCCAGCTACCACAGCAGAGCCAAACCAAGTGTTGGTCTTCTGGTCAAAAGCTATTCTTCCCACACCTCTTAGCTTATGCCAGCTCAGAATTTGTTCCTCAGCAAGTCTTGTTACATAGCAAATATAACAGACCTTGTTTATGCAATAAGTTCATGGTCAAAAGACAGATTTGCTCAGAATTTATATAGCCTCTTTCTAGTCAAGGCCACCTGGAGCTAATAAATGTAGTTACCACCCACTATGTGCCATTAAATTAATTTTATGGCTTAATTAAGACTGGCCACATTAATTTTATGAATGAGCAAAGGGAGCTGCCAAAAATAAATTCGCATGAAAAGTTCTTGTGGCTGGGAGTCCGGAGTCCCTGGTCTTGGGTGCCTGTATGTCATTTGGCCTCCTAGCACTTCCTGGGCAAATATTCCTATCTCAATTGTTTCCTAATGGTTTTATAAATATAAAGTGAGAAAGTGAATGTCAAAGCACTTCAGGGCCATAGATAGAAGAGCTTGCTCTTTTCCTAATTTATATCCTAAGTGTCTTTTCTGTCAACATCAGCTAGGCCTGAATAGGTAAAAAAGGTTCCTACACCAAAGGGCAGGAACCAACTTCTTTTGACTATATTCCAAGTTCTCGACATGGATACATGCACTAATCTTTCAGTCCATCCTCAAAAATTCTTTGTGATAACATTCTATTATCTCCATATAACTCATAAGTAACTGGCAAAGAGGAATAATGCAAATTATACAGGGCACTTCTGGGCTTCTGAGCATAGTAGACTTCTGATTTTGTGGCTTAGCTTCTTCCCATGATTCCAGGTTATCTCAAGTTCAAAGAGCACATTATAAGCAATGGGATTTGAGCAAAACAACTCATTGCTAGGAGCCTCAATGCTCTTACTTGATATATGGTTTGATCCCACCTGTGCCCGTCTCTGAAGTAGACACGAAAAGAGTTAGAGCAGAGTAGGCCTTATATGTTGAGGTTTTCTTGTCTTTGAGGGACCCTTGACTGAGCCCATCTGGAATGCTAAGAGTCCTATAACCAAGGCTGAAGATTATTGCACTGAGGAGGGTCTTCAGGCACCTGTCAAGTTGCATCTTACCCAGTTGCATCCTGCCCAGAAGCAGCTGAGAAAGTTCACACAGCTCCTCTTAAAGGAACTCCTGAAGAAAGCCTCTTCCTCCAAACATTGGTTGCCTCTGGAGGTTCTCCTGGAGGTGGGTAAAAAGGGCCTTTGTTTAGTTGTGTATTGGGGGTGGGTGGGGTTGGGGGGCGAGGCTTGACAGGTTGGTGAGGGGACAGTAAGACATAAGGTCTGCGTTTCTTGGGTGGGTACACATAAAGACAGCCTGGTTTTAGATTCCAGCTCAGTCTGCAGCAGTGTGGTGCTGAAGAGGACCTCCGGAACTGAAGATTGTAGCGTGGTCAGGAGCTCACCAAGAAACTGGTAAATAGATGAGTTGGGACAGGCCTTATCCAGGATCCCTAGAAACAGAGCCAAAGTGGAAAATTTTCAGACTTTATTCATTGAGGGGGATGCTCTCAGGAAGAGGGGTGGGGAGTTAAAGTAGGCAGGAGAGAAGCTAACTATGAAGTGGTCTCAATTTGATACTGGCTACAGCCTGGTCACAGGGAACAGCAGTGTGGTACCTGATCTGCATGGCTGACCTCACTTGGTAGCACCATTCCAGGGTTAGTGATTGGGAATTCCCTCTTAGACTCCTTAGCTGAGAAAGTGGATGCCAACTCCTGGACGAGAAAGGTGGTTGGAGGCATATAGACCGATGCCCCAAGAAAGGGACAGAGCTGATTTTTAAGCAGCCCAAGCATCCAAGTTCTGGGTGCAACCACAGGCAAGAGTCACAGTGGACAGCAGCATCTACTACAGTGCCTGAGTGGACAAAACAACTGTGCTCCTGCTGACTCAGTCCTGTGCTGTGCTTCCAGGCCTATCCGGAGAATGCCACTGGCTTACAGAAACGAGATTTCCAATCTGAGGTGCTGCTTTCTACCATGGAGATCTTCCATGTTGTGAGTGAAGGCAATGAACAGATACTGGAAGGTAAGCCGCTTTGCCGTAGCCCTTGTTCTCATGACATGTGACTAATGATATCTGAACAAGGAACCAAAAGTACCCTGCTAACCACAATATCACACCTTAGAAAATTATTGGAACTTTAGAAGTCATTCAGTGTTACCCTTTACCTAAAGCTTTGGTGCCTCCTACAGTATCTGCTCCTTTAGATCATGAGTGTCCACAACATCTATTTCATCATTTGTTCATTCTGAGATAGAAAGCTGTCTATCTTCTGAGTTACACCTTCACTACTAGCTTCAGTAGAAATGTGACTTCTGCCCAAAAGAAAGTCAAGACTTTGACTGAAGTGAAGCTGTTCTGCTCAGTGATTTTCTTTAATTGGGGTGAAATTATTTTTCTGTTCAGTGACTTACTCTTTGTCCTTTTGTTCCTATTGCTATATAATAGAACAGTGATTTTAAAAACAACAACAAAAGCCACAAATCCACTGACATTAAGTTTATTCCAGTTTATAGTGTCCCTAATAGGGTTTCCAAGTCTAAATGGTTTTGGAGGCAGAAAACCTCAACTTTCTCCCATGGAGCTGCTGCTGAGGTTGGACTACTGATTTTGACGTTAGCAGCTCCACACTGCTTACTCCACAGGCCCATGAACAGGGGCTTAGCAAATGCTTTGTTAATGAAGGAACCTGAATGAAGACTATTACCATTAAGAATTTAAAGTTGAAGCTTCATCCAGAAGACAGCTCTGGGCAAGTCTACCTTCGTCACCAGATTTTTTTTCCCCTGTAGTTACTGAGTAATGGGATCCTTAGTGACATAGCTCATCTTTCAATTCTTCTACACCTCACAGCCTTGCGATACTTTGTGGTCTTTCTCAACAGAGATTGAGAGAATGGATGGGCAATCCCAGCTATGAGTTCCTATCTTGGAATGCTCCCTTTTGAGCAGGGAAACCCTGGACAAGCACTTGACCTTGTAAACGGGGGATAACAGCTAAATCTAGGTCAGAGGATTGTTGCAGGGATTGACAAGACGACCAAGGACATGTCAGCACAGTGCTGCCATATTGATTGGCACTGAGAGATGGCAGCTTCAACCCCGGTCCAACTTAACAGGGCCCCATGCAGCCTTCCTATTTACCTTACGTTACCCCCGCCGCCCTCCCTGTGCTTCCAAATGACCACTGGAAAACATGTCTCCCTTTACTTGCTATCTTTCCACGTGACTTTATATCACTAATTATATAATTTAAGATATATAATTTCAAATAAATGTATGTTAATTGAGCTTTTACTGTGTACAAATCTCCATGTTTGAGAGCAATCTATGTACTAAGGGGTGTGACTTTTCATATGTTGCCTTTTCCCCACCATAGGCAGTAAGGAGCCTCAGGCAAATGCAGAAACTGCTGTAGCTCCATCCCTCACCAACATCTCCTACTTCACAAAGAAGCTGGTGGAGAAGCTGCACAGTGGAATGTTCACAAGAGACCCCAAATACGTCCTACTCTTTATCACAGAGCACATTTTAATGGTAAGCATCCTGGAACTGACTTGTCTAGTCTCCTGCTGACTAACAAGCATTCTGGCTCTGTGTGATGACCCCCAGGTGACGGTACAGTTAGAAGTAGACTCAGAGAAATAGAAAGAAACTCTGAGACTCAGCAGGAGGGAGAAGGAGGGGTTTGGAAGCCAGGTTGTACCTGGGAGCTATTAAAAGTCTGTTAGACTGTCCCTTGGGCTACCTGAGATGTTCTTTAATGAATGAGTTCATTATGTCTTGCATGTATGAGAGCTACACCTTTGGGCTTGTGATTGGGCTTAATCATTGTTATTTCTCATCAACAAAGAAACATGAGCTGAGGAAGGGCAAAGAACAGTGTCTATATCCCCAAAAGGCCAATTTCATTTCTTCCTTAATGTCTGCCCTATCTGTGACATTTGCGCTTTTTCTGAAATCAAGGCCAGAGTCTAATTTTACATAGACTCTCCATATACATAGATATGTATATTCATATATCCCTATATATGCAAATACATAGATGTACTCTTCTATGTATGAATGTATTCATGCAAACATAGATATTTTAGCCCCTCATCTCCCACGGAGTTCTAGAAACCTTCCTGACAGCCGGCCGTTCTTATTTTGTGTGAATTTTGACATGAGGGAGGACTTATTATTGCACAAGCTGCCACATCCATTGTAAACCTGTGGTTTCTCTAATCAAAAATCTTTCTCAAACCAGTCCCTGGCATATAAGCTGCAGCAGCAACTGGAGGATTTCTCTCCATCCCACCACTGAACACAGTATAGTTTTACCTGTGATCACTGGAACAAATGCAGAACAATTATGCAGTCTGTCTGATGTAATTCTTGCTTCCTGCACCCTGATACGTAGCATATGAGGATTCCCATGTATATTCCTGGGCCCAAACCAAATCAAACTCACTGTCATTGAATTGATGGAAACTCATGGTGACCCTATAGGACCCTATAGTACCTACATCACAAAGTGTTTATAAGACTATGTGAGTGTGTGCTTTTTATTTCTATGTTCTAGGTCATTGAGAATGCCTCATCTCAAAAGGAAGTCACCCTCAGTGCTTTGTACAGTGGTTTGAATAAAGTTATTCTGTACTGCCTTTCCAAGCCCCACCAGTCTTTCTCTGAATGCCTCAGTCTTCTCAGCATCTTGGAATTCCTGCAGGAGCACTGGGACATTGTTTTTGCCACCTACAATTCCAATGTCAGCTTTCTTCTCTGTCTCATGCATTGCTTTTTGTTGCTCAATGCAAGAAGGTATGAGCCACCGATTTGTTTTCTTGTTCAGTTGTGGTAAACACAGAAAAACAAGCTTTAGAGGAACCCTTTATTGAGGGAGAAATGAATGGTATAATCAGTTTCTTTGTGATTATTCACATTATATGCAATATTTGATCATATGGTAGGTTGTCTCCAAGCTATCCAAATGGCAAAGCAGCTAGACTCATAATGAAATAATTATTTACTCTATTTCCATAATTCAAAACACCACTGCTTGTAAGATTTTTCATTGATTTAATTTTTGAGGCAGAAAATTTCAATATTAAGTGCACATGTTGATTTTGTGATACAGCCAGATTTCAGAAAGATCAACAGCTGATAAATGTAATGTTAGAGGTAAAAAGTATATATTAAATTATATCACAGAAGCTAGACATAATTTTCCCTACAGAAAGAATACACGCAGACATGTACACTCCATATGCAGTGAGACTGTGAAAGCTAAAACTCGCCTTGATTTTCTAGTTCCATGTCTTTTTCCCTTTTGACGGAGCAGTCCCCCATTTCTCAATCACTCTCTATTAGTGAAAAATATTTGTTTTCCTTCCTTAACAGTTTTCTATTTTATTTTATTTTATTTTATTTTTAAAATCATTTTATTAGCGGGCTCATACAATTCTTCACAATCCATACATACATCATTTGTGTCCAGCACATTAGTACATATGTTGACTTCATTATTCTCACAACACCTGCTTTCCACTTGAGCCCTTGATGTCAGCTCCTCGTCTTTCCCCCTTCCTCCTCGCTCCCCCCTCCCCCTTAACATTGTGAATGAAGGGGAGTGCAGAGTGGGGACCCAGGGCCCATCCGGGGAAAATTGGACATCCCCTTGCAGAAGGGCTGCAGGGAGGAGAAGAGCCAATCGGAGTGCAGTGTAGCAATGATGAGATAGACAATTTTCCTCTGGTTCTTAAATGCTTCCTCCCCACCACTATCATGATCCCAATTCTACCTTACATATCCGGCTGGACTGGAAGATGTACACTGGCACAGATAGGAATTGGAAACACAGGGAATCCAGGACAGATGAACCCCTCAGGACCAGTGGAGAGAGTGGCGATATCGGGAGGGCGAGGGGAAGGGGAGGGAGATGGGAGAACAGATGACAAGGTCTACATATAACCTCCTCCCTGGGGGACGGACAGCAGAGAAGTGGGTAAGGGAGACGTCGGATGGTGTAAGATATGATAAAATAATAATAATTTATAAAACAGTTTTCTATTTTATATAGGTTCCAGATTTCTCATATTTTCGTGCATATGACATAAAATGACAAGTGCACTTGTCTAAGGAGCTATAATAAGTGCTATTAAATGATTCTTTTTAAAATCTTTATTTTGAAATACAAAATGTATTTCATCTATTTTCCAAAATGACATTGCAAAATATGTATAAGGGAAATTGACCAAAGGTGTTCAATTTATTTAGATAAGAAAAATTTTCTATTGCTATGTACTAAGTTGAGAGGATTCTTATTAACAATAAACAGCAATAGAATTATTACAAACAGACTAGGGTGTATAATGAACATTTTCTTCTCTACCAGCTACCCAGAAGGATTTGGATTGGAAACCAAACCCAGAATGACTGCTTATCATTACGTCTTTCTTTCTCCAAATGAAGACACGAAAGGGAAAAGAATGGAAAGCTCAAGCTTGAGTGATGGTACAATTTATTTTCTCTTTACTTAGGGGAGGTGAGTGGTATAGTGGTTAAAGAGGAATCTCAGAAGAACGTACAAGTACAAGAACATAAAGTGGTAGAGAATAAAGTGGAAATGCTCTTTGCGTATTAGAAACAGAAGGAATGGCTAGCTAGGTGGGTGGACGAATGGATACATGTAGGGAAAGATATGTGGAGGTTGCTGTCATTAGGAACTTAATATGCTAATTGGAATCCCAAGATCCTTACTAGAAGTTGATTTCTTGCATTTTTCTTTGAAATACCAATACAAACACTGGCTAGTCATCTCACTGGTTGTCACACAGCATTCTGGCCTACAACATAAGAACGGAGTAAATGAACATACCCTGTTTCCCCGAAAATAAGACAGTGTCTCATATTAATTTTTGCTCCCAAAGATGCGCTAGGTTTTATTTTCAGGGGATGTCTTATTTTTCCATGAAGAAGAATACGGTACACATTTATTGTTGAACAAAGAAAAAGGAAATTTATTACCTGTATACGGTACAGTAGTAGTTGTCATCACAAGCCCGCATAACCAAACTGTGAATCTTACAGTGTCAGGAATTTCTTGTTACTCCTGCCCCGCA